TTAAAATTCTTTTTAATTTTTTTTTTTTTTTTTTTTTTTTTTTTTTATTATTATAAAATTTTATGTTTTCGAATAAAAGATATATTTTTATAAATATTAAAAGAATTTCTTCACTTTACTTTAAAAAAAAAAAGACTGCTTTAATATAAACATATAATATACATCAAAAAATTTCAAATATTAATTTAAATATTATTGGTTTAAGTTTTTAATAACTGTCAGTTTTAGTAAAAGGAAATTACTTTCTTCGTTTTATTATTGCAAATTTACAAATTTTAATTTTACACGAACTAAAACAGTCTTTGATGTTGAGTTCACTGTATTCCACAATAAATAATTTTTTCAATATTATTTACTTTAAATAATAAGTTAGTAGACTATTTTATATATTACTCAATGTATAAGTGTGAAAACTTTGAAACAAGAATCTGAAGGTTTCTTATTTACATTTATTTAGCTAGTTTTCTTGTTTGTTTTCTTATTAATTTCCGCACTCTTTAATCTTTGCCCGCTGCACTTGAGACTTGAGCTAATAAAATTGTATAAAAAGTAAGTGAACGTGTATGTGAAAGAAATATCTATAAAATTGCGTTCAATAATTTTTGTTGTTTGTTCTTTGTTCACAATTGTTGATATATTTATTTTTAGCACTCGCAAAATAATCAGACAAAAAAACTTTTGGGCGAAAATCGCAGAAAATCAAACCTAATAAATGAAATGAAATTGTTGTCTAAGAGAGCCTTCGCCTATAAATGAGTGAGATAGAGAGAGGGAGAGAGAGAGCGCGCGAGAGTGCAGAGATGCAGCGACGGCGTCTCGGTCTTTACTTATGTTACAATTTGTCAATAAGCCCGCGCGAAACAAAGCGCCAGAGCGAAATGTCAGTTTACATTCTAAGTGTAGGTGTGTGCGTGTGTGTGAGTGTGAAATAAAATGTAAACATAGCAAAAACAACAAGCGAGAACAGAACACAGAAAAACAACAACAGCAACACGCACCCAAAATAAGCGGCGAAGCGAATTGACGGCAAATCTCGTACGTTGTAGAATTGCAGGCAAGTTGCTTTGCAGGGGGCGGGGCAGATGTGGGGGAGATGACAGGGAGACGACGAGTTGAGCGTTATTAAAAATTTCGTATTTAAAAATCAGCTGCGCTTTACAAACACACAGACATATTTACATATATATGTATGCATATATAAACACAGAACACGCGCGCGCATACACAGCAAGCACGTTGCGAGAGGCCTTTTTTATCTCACTTCTTTCTTATTTACGTGTTGCATTTGTTTGACTTGGAATCATTTTGGGCTGGAAAAAAACACTCTTAGCAACAATGCACTGGAACACACACACACACAGAACACGCGAACCCGAAAAGCGAGATGAAACGCAACGAAAAGATGTAAAAAACCTTTATTTTTGTTGTTGATATTTAGTAGTGCATACTGTTGTTACTGCTGCTGCTGCTACTGCGACGACGGCGATCGACTAACTGAATTGGAATTGAAAGCTGAACGGCGACTACGACTACGACAACAAGCAACACGACGCGCATTACGTACGACCAACTGCGGCCGATTTCGATCTCATACTGATCACCGTTAAACGTTGTTTCGACTACGTCGGCTGCTGCTGCTGCTATGAAGCGTCGCAGTCAGCGTCAGTGAGAGCGCGCGCGCCCGTGTATGAATGACAATTTTAACAGTGCCGTTCTCTCTCTCTCTCTCTCTCTATCTTGCGGTTCCAAAGCGGTGTGCGCTGCTGCTGCTGCGCCGTCAGCAAATTGCACGTGCGTGTTTAGCTCAAACTCTCTCTCAATGCGCCTCCCTCTCTCTTTGATGTAAGCTTACAAGCAGCTTAAGAGTTATGCTCTTTAGCCGCATGAAATGTAATTTAATGGGCCAGCTGTTAAGCGCGCTCTGTAATCAGTCATTGATAGCGTGGTCGTGTAGCCAAGTCGTAAACTCTTAACCGATTAAAGCAACAAAAGCTTTTATGAGGCTTAACCAAGAACACAAAAATGAATAATAATAATGAAACCTAAGAAATTTAAGTGTCTAGTCAAAAAAGTTGAGTTGGTGATAGAAATTAAGCTTAAGACGACAACACTGAGCGAAAAGCGTTTTAAACGTGATATTGCTAGGTTGAAGTTGTGATAGGATACACATGTTAATATACTCAAACTATGTTAGCAAAATATTATGAGCAATAGAAATCATATTTATGGCTTATTTAAATATTAAAAATTAACATTAGATTTGGTTTTTTTCTTCAGGGTAACTTGTAGCTTGCTGCCTGACACGTTTTTAAGTTTGGTTACGTTTTGCTTTTTTAAAGAATTATAACATTTCCGGCAGGCGTTGCCAATTCCAGAAGTTGTTCAGCATTTGAATAAAATATGTTCATATATATATGTATATATTTTATTAAACAAAGACACATACATTTAGCCAATGGGCCACAAATATTCGTGCGTGTATCTTCGAACTTTGAGCTCATATGGCGGCTGTTAAAGCTTATCAGTCATTAAACTTGACAAAAGAGAGCAACAACAACAGCAACAGTAAAAGAGAGCGCAGCGTATACGCAATGCGTACGTGCGTGTATGTGTGTGTGTGTCAGCCGCTATGTCAGGAAGCTAAACCAAAAAAAAACAAGAGGCCTATAAAATGTGTCAGCTGTTCTTCAGCTTTCGGTGCGTGAAAGCCAAATAAAAAAGAAAAATATCTTCAAAAAAATATATGGCGCACCACATATGGCCAGCAGGCAGATAAAGCTAATAGGCCTAACACAGATTCGCTTTAATCATGATGATTCTTCTATTTGATATATGTATATGTGCGCATATCGAGCGCAAAAAGTGCGCTATTTTATTTTATGGCATGTGCCATAAACACTTGCAATACACACGCTCACGCACATTTATTTTTTTTGTTCTAATTATGTGTGCGCGGCCATTGTGCGTGCGACTACTGTCGTTGTTGCTGTTTGCCGTTGTCGTTGTTGCTATTCTTCCTCTTCTTCAATCGTTTCTGCCTCTCTTCTATGAGTGTCGCTGGCAGCGAGACACGCACACACACACTCGCTTACATACTCATGCATACGCACTTGCTCTTAACCTTGAAAAATGAACGCACGCAGCTTGGCGTTCGCCTGTGCGCATGTGTGTGTGTGTGTGTGTGTGTTTCTGTGTGCATGCGTACTTGTATATGTGTGTGTGTCTGTATTTATTGTACAGCTCTTTTTGGCTGCGCTGATAACATTTTTTTGTTATTGCTTTCTTTTCTTTCATTCCTTTTCTTTTTTGGTACGTTCATTGCCCGCACACACACACACACACACAGTCACGCACATTTATTTGCTATTTATTTGCGCACTTTGCCGAATTTTTATACCCTGAACCCATTTTCAATGGGAAATCAGGGTATAATGGTTTTGTTGAAATGTATGTAACAGGCAGAAGGAGGCGTGGCAGACCCCATAAAGTATATATATTCTTGATCAGGGCGACGAGCTGAGTTGATTTGGCCCTGTCCGTCTGTCTGTCCGTCCGTCTGTCCGTATGTATGAACGCGTCGATTTCAGAAGATATAAGAGCTAGAGACTTCAAATTTTTTTAAAATGTTCGTAATTACAGCGCGCATATCAAGTTTATCATTAAAAATCGATAACTCATCCCGATCTTTTTTATCGATAAAAAACCTTATCGAAAACCAGTTATATGCCTGTGTGTGTGCGTGCGTGCGTGTGTGTGTGTGTGTGTGCGTATTTCTTGTGTAAGCTGAAAGACGCGAAAAATTTTGAAATAGCTATTGCTCCAAGGGTTCAGGGGATCTCGTAGTCGAGCAGTCTCGACTAGAGCTTTCTTACTTTTTTCTATAGTTTTATTATGCGTTATATCTTGCAAAATTGTCTCGCCTTAGTAAATTTTGCATATGATTTTTTTATTTTTACCCCAAGTAACTTTCTTTTTTTTTTTTTTTTTTGTCAGCAATCTGCGTATTTATTTTGTATTATTATTAGCGTTTAACGAACTCTTATCGGTCGCAATTTCCCTTTATTTAATTTTTAATTTTTTTCTTATTTACTGCACCAGCTGTAATGTACATTTAAGGTGTGATTCACGAATGATACTATATATCGTTCGCTTTACCTTCTTCTTTACCATAATCGTTGCCTAGAAATGTTTTTTGATACAAAGAGCTGGCGAGATTGTGTCGTGGGACCTTGAACTTAACCTATATATTGCTTTAGATTTTGGGGTCAACAACTTCAGCGATACGGGATCAGCACTTCAGAAAAATTGAAACTGTCCAAATACCGATATTACCTACTGATAAATTGCTATCGACTATTTTATTATATTTTAAATATCAATTTGATATACAGCTAAAAAATAAAAATAAAAAGATAAAAATAATTTTTAGAGCATTATGTTATTTTACTTTACGCGCATTTGAAATATGTTTAATGTTTTTGATTGCATTTTTGTTTTCGTTACTATAAAGCATTATTAAAACATTAAAATATCGTTTATACTTTTTTCATATCATTATTATAAAGTTATTATTATATTTGACGACTTTTAATTGGGCTGTGACCATTAATTTGAATATTTTCTGGCATCGCCTCAAAGTATGCTACAATTTGTTTTAACCGGAAGTGAAAACAAGCTAATTTTTATGTATGCATGTATTTGGTTTGAATAGTTTATGTTAACTCTTATACTGAATTATAATTTTCCGAAGAATAATCTACTTCTATTCGGTCTTCTGTAAATATTCCAAGTATATTGCAAACTATTCAAGCTGAAAATAATAATAATAGTATCTTTACAAATTTGTATATGCATAAGATTTATGTATTATTTATAATTTTTTTTTGTGTATTTTAATCTTTTGTCTAGGTTTTCCGGGTATTCCTGTACCGGGTATTTTCTAGTCGGGAACTCCCACCTAGATTTTTTTCACTCGATTCCGAATGATTGAAGTACTCATTTCAGTGCTTTGTCACAAGCCCAGCAAGCCCTGCTGTAGCCGTTCGAGCATTATGTGCGTGTCCGTATTAGTTTATCCAGTCTGTAAACACATCTCGTTTGAAAATAAGCCAGGAAGCGCGTAGACTGTTAGACTGTTCCTTTCTCATTTTTCTTGCACGAATTTCTTAACAGTTGCCCAGATGAGGATGGAAGACCCGGTTGTGTCCATCTACGATATGCTGATGAAGCGCTACCGACAGCAGCGCCGAGATGACCACCAGCAGCAGAAGGAGACTCCGCCCAATCGCCAGGCCAGTCGCGATCTACGTCAGCCCTACGCAGCTCTACAGCAGCCCCAGGCAGGGGTCCAGTTGAGTGCAGACAAGAAGCCCAGGCCGCGGCTGGCTCGTCCGCGCCTTGCCGGGGACAGCTTGACTGGCGGAAAGATGTCCACGAATGTGGTGACAGCCACCCACCTGACCAAGAAGCAGTCGGGTGTCCTGCTGCAGCCGCCGCTCAAGAAGGAGGTGCTCAATCAGCTGGTGGCCAAGATGAGTGGCAAGCAGACGCCGGCTGCAGCTGCTGTTGCTACTGCCACAGCAGCTCCAGCGAAGCCGTCGACCTCATTGAACAAGAAGCGTTCGAAGACTGGCAAGGCCTTGAAGTCGTCGCACGGCAGCGAATCCAGCAATCGTCGCACTAGGCTTGTGCTCTCTCCGCGCAATACCAATCGGCAACTCAGGTCTCAGAGCAAGCGAGATAAGTCTAAGATAAACAATGAACTGAAGCAGCAGCAGCAGCAGCAGCAGACACCGCCGCCACCGCCGCCGCCGCAGCAACGTCGACCCAAGAATCCGGAATCGGAGCGACAGAAGGTTCGTCTACGGTCTCGTCTCTCCAAGTTTTCTGTGACGGCAAACGACCAAAGTGCTGACAATGCCGTCCGATGCCGCCTCTAGGCGTTATACTATGCATATAACGTCTCCAGGCGTTATATACTATATATATATATATATATGCATACCATTTATATATATATATAGCTATATGTATTTAAGTATTTACGTATTCAATCTGCAAATTGCGAGTGTTGCCGTCAGCCCAACCGTGTTAACGAGTTCAGTTGTTTTGTTGCATTTTGGAGCGCGCTTCCATTTGCCAATCGATGGGTTTGCAAAGTCTGTTGGTTAACATGTGGACAGGCGCTGCAAAATCCTTTTGTCTTTAATCTTTCGAACGGAAAAGAGAGCCATAAAAATTTAAATTAAATCGTATCGGAAGTAAGGCTATTTTGTTTTATTCTTAGAACCGGAATAGTGGTGCAGTGGCTGTCAAACTGTGAAGGATGGGACTTTGCAATTCAAAGTTTGGCCATCGTTGCAGTTGATTATAATCATATTTTATTATTTGACGTACACTATATAGCAAAATAATCGAGATGCCCATAATTCTATCGATCCTGATCTATCCTGTGCGTATAGTCCTTCAAATTAGAGGCTGATGACAGATAAACATCATGTAACCATGCATGAAATAATATTCACTGCTATCGATAACACTATAATTATCGAATTAAACTAAAAACTGCTGAAATTCTATCGATCCTCGTCGACTGATCTATCCTGGGCGTAGACTAGTCCTTTCAATTAGAGGCTGATGACAGATAAACATGCATGACATAATGTGTACAGCTATCGATAACATTTAAAGCATTAAAAACAGATTGCAATTTTATCGATAGCTTCTATCCAGAAATCGATCTACGAAGGCAAAGGTAGAGTTCAGTTGGCTAATTAACTTCATTATTTATTGCTTAAGACAAGTTATAGCTGTAATAAAACGTATGTAAAATATTTTAAGAAACCATTTTCATTTTTTAATATAATAATTTATTATTTTATTTTATATTTTATAATAAATTAAAATTTCATTTAGCAGCTTAACATTTTCTTCTTTGTTTTGTTTATGTTTTTGATTTTGTTTTGTAACCAATTAGCATTTAAATAATTTGAAGCTTGGTTTTTTGCTTTTCACATAATATGTTGGGTTTGTTATATACTCTATAAGTAGGATTCTCGCCAACAACATGCATTGGCATATGCCTAGCACTAGACTTATTCCTTAACATGTTCACATACATTTTGACATTAAAATGCAACAGCTACAAACTAAGAATACTTGGATCTATGTGTAGTAATCGTATATATATATATATAAATATATTCATACGTATATATCATATATATAAGCCATCAATGATGCTTAACATTTTATCTTTCGACTGTTAAAACAACGGGTTAGGAGGTGTTCCAAAAATCATGAAAACCCAAATCGAAGATACATTTTTATAGATTGTAAAAAAGTCTGCGGTTTTTACAAAAATATTGTACAGAAATATTTGTTTTTGTTCAGTTAAATATAATATTGTATTCTCTGTTTTAAATCTGGTAAAGTTTTCTTTATCAAAATTACAAAATAATTTCGATTTACTTTGCGCTTATCAGACATGGAAATGAATTTTTTAAAACAAAAATTCAAGGCGCTTTTATTATTTGTATCTTTTTTTTAATCTTCTTGTTGCTGGTATGCATGTGAGTATGCATGTGTATGTGTGTGTGACGCGATTGTGTGTGTATTTTTGTATTGAAATACTTTCAATTGATTTTTGTTTTAAAGCATTCGCCCAACATTGAATTAAACATAAATGCAGCCGACTAAAAACGAATTTAGGCTTTTAACTAAATGTATAACTATAAATAAACTGTAAATTCATTAATTATTAAATACACACATATATTTATATATACATCTGAATAGAGCCTAACTGAGGGACGAAACTAAAAGGCTTAACACAATAACACAAATATTTCGCTCTAGCTCTCTCTCTTTCTCTTAATATTTTGTGACTAATGTTTTTGAAATTCAATTTCAATTATTTGGTGGCCTCACGCTTCTTCTTAGTTCTTTCAGTACCAAAAGGAACTAAGCGAATGTTTCTGCTAGATCAATTACTTTTCTTAAACTTCAATTTCTATGGGGTTGCGGGATTTGTGAGTGGAGTTTTGTGTTGTGCTGAAAGGACTGCTAGGGTATCATGACTTCAGCCAAAGTCTTTTCAGTCTGAAATGAACATAAAAAAGCAGAAATTAGAAAATAAATTTGAGAAATTATAAATTAAATTAAAATAATTAATTTAGCGAGCAGTTTGTAATTTTAAAAATATATTTCTATGCAGAAATATTTCAAAATATAATCAAAATTATAGAAATAAAATTTTAGAAAAATTTTCTAATTTAAGGCCTAATCTTAGCTCAACAAAGAGCTAAAATATTTTAAAAATATAATCTCAACATTTATGATTTTAAATACGTTTTATAAAATTGGTTTCATGTAGGCATTGCGAAATCAAAAATATACTAAGCTAAGGCTTAACTACTCTGAAGTTCAAAAAACTATAAAGCCTTAAGGCAAGCTTTCGGTTTTCGGGTTCGTCTTTCGTATATATATCAGATCTAAAAACTATGGAATATGTAACGATTTTCGCTATTGCTTGCTGAACACGATTTCATTTGATGAATATGAATTGCATTTAATTCGGGTTCAATGACGTCTGGCTTATAATTCCGTATGCAAAGACTCAATGCTCTGGCGCAGCTCACCATCGTTGTAGATCTTATCGCAAACGATGCTCACCTTTTTCAGCAGCTCGATGGCCGTTTGAAGCACCTGATGCCATTTGCGTAGCTCCGACTCGTGCGACAGCTCCTGCTGTCGCATCAGTTCCAGCCAATCTTGGTTTGAACTCGGTAATTCCCTAAAAAGCAAGAGTAAATTAAGTTATAGATTCGGTTTTAGAATGATGTATGCTTTATATATATGTACTTGAGTGCCGCCAAGGTGGGCATGCGCGCCCGCCGACTGAGATCGAGGTCAATGTGTTCCTCCAGCTTCCAGAGCTTAAGTAATAATATCACATTTAATGCCAGCAGCAAGCACATTAACAATATAAGAAACAGCGACAGGCCGGGATGCCGGAATCTATCTCGGCCCACTTGCAGGCCGCTGGCCAGCAACTGCTGCTGCTGCTGTTGCTGCAACAATTGCTGAGCTGTCAATTGCTGCTGCTTGCCGCCGCTGGCGCCGCCACTGCCACCAGCGGCTCCATGTGCCAGGCCACCAGCTGCGCCAGTTTGCAGCTGTGAGTCCCAGTTGTCCATCGAGTCGGGCAGGCAGCTCTGTGAGGCGCCTCCGCTGTTCGACTCCTCCGTCACGCCCCTTGACTGTGTCGAGGTGCCTAGGCAGCAGAAAGATGGATAATCGTTAATTAGAGACAGCTGCGGACAGGTGTCAACAGGTGTTTAAGCAACTACAGCAACAGAAACACAACAATCGAATGCAACAAAACTTGGGTGTTAATACATGCAAATTGTTTACGCATACAGCTAAATAATTATGCTAATACGAGCCCAAACCACTATTAATTCGAACAGCATGTTTTTTTTGCAGTGCGCAATGTTTAACACACTCTATTGTCAATACTACTAAAGATAACACATACCAATTCATTTCGCCTTAAAGATAATTTTATTCTCTTCATGATGAAAAAAAAAATAATGCTCTCTTTCCAACAACAACAAAAATATGAGTAATTTACTAAAACGGTATACTTAAGAGATAAGAAAAAATTGACCACTATTAATTCGAACGCTGCGTAATGTGATTTACTATCATATTCAAAACAATAATTTAATTAATATTAGAATTGTGTAACGTCGCCCTTGGCCTGAATTACACATTTGACTCGTTTTGGCATTGATTTTAACAAAGTTTTGCAATGCTCTTGAGAAATTGAGTCCCACATCTCTTGCAACTTGATTTTCAAGTCTGCAATATTCCGTTGTGGCTCATTTCGAAGCTGGTCTTTCATTAGCCACCAAATATTTTCAATTGGGCTTAGATCTGGACTATTTGCTGGCCAATCTAAAACCTCCATTTGATTATATTGCAGCCAATTTTTGGTTCCCTTAGCTGTGTGCGATGATGCTCCGTCCTGCTGAAAAGTGAATTCACCGCAATCTGATAGTTTTGGTATTGATGGCAACAAACTATCTTGTAAAATATTAATATATTTTTCAGCATTGAGTGTCCCTTCAATGAAATGAAGTCTTCCTAATCCCTTGGCAGACATACATCCCCATACCATAGTGCTCGCAGGAAACTTTGTTGTTCTTTTAAGGCAGTCTTTATGATATGTTTCTGACTTTTTACGGATGACGCGTTTTCTCGTATCGCCGACACTAACATCAAACTTAGCTTCATCGCTAAATATGATGGTATCCCATTGCCTTTGAGTCCAAGACATCCTTTCCCGAGCCCATTGCAAACGCTTCTTTTTGTGACGAAGCGTAAGCAAGGGTTTTTCCTTGGCCTACGAGTAAGATTACGAGTAAGTTATTGGGTACGATGCACAGCTAATAACAAAACATACTTTATAAAAACCATATCCAATACTTTTTAATTGCAGTCGAGTCCACTCTCGGTGGACAGTTTTGCCAATTGTCTGCGACCACTCAGAAGCCAAATTTCTTAAAGATTGGCGACGATCAGCCTTAACAATTTTGGCCAGTTGTCTTTTGTCGCGAGGTGTTATTGCTGATGTTCGGCCTCTATTCGCAATGTTATTTTCAATATTCCCATTTTTTTTTGAAAATTTGTATCACCCCATGCACAGACGACTTAGGCAAATTTAATTGCTTGCTTATCTCCGTAAGTGTCTTTCCAGATTTAAAATAATCCCTAATCAATACTCTGATTTCTTTACAAATTGGTTTACCACGCACCATCGTTGCTAAACTTTCATTGATCTGCAGCAATTCTAAAATTTTTTTGCATGCTGTATTGTGACATTATTTGCAGATCATAACTAGATAGTGATTCCGTTACATTACATTCCGTTACATTAGTTGCTTTTGTTTTGCTCTTCTTGAGATTAAGGTAAGCTTACGCAGCGTTCGAATTAATAGTGGTCAATTTTTTCTTATCTCTTAAGTATACCGTTTTAGTAAATTACTCATATTTTTGTTGTTGTTGGAAAGAGAGCATTATTTTTTTTTTCATCATGAAGAGAATAAAATTATCTTTAAGACAAAATGAATTGGTATGTGTTATCTTTAGTAGTATTGACAATATAGTGTGTTAAACATTGCGCACTGCAAAAAAAACATGCTGTTCGAATTAATAGTGGTTTGGGCTCGTAAAACATCGAAATGAAACAAAAACACAGCAACAAGCAAAATTCTGCACCAAGCGATTGGCACAGGTTAGTTCAAATATTACGGTTATTATACTAGAGCAGCTAAATGGAGGCAACAACTTTTTTCCTACATTCCTTCAAGCTTAATGCAAACCAAGCATTTAATGGCTGAATCGTATGCTTATCCAAGTGTTTTTCATATATGATATTGTACTCTAATATATCATTTAACATTCATAATAATTGTGTTCTTAGAGATAATATTTAAAAGCCGATTTTCAAGAGAGTTAATGGAGGTATTGGAGGTAACGAGAATGTAAAGTTGTGTGAATATTATAGGTAAAAATTATTGGTATATTTTGTAAGAGTTATGATACAAAAAGTCTCCCAAACAAAAATTTGGACATGTATCTCTATATGGAGATGACATGACGATTTCCTTACAAATCCGAGGCCAGCTGGGAAGTTTCACAACTGTGTGTTTCTATGTTCTATATGGATAATTTGTTCTTCTTTTCTTATTTGATCGTTTCATCTTGAAAACTATCAAATTTGGCACATGGAACCAAATTAGTTATATTATACAGCCCCTCATATTTTATCAAAGTTCTTTACATTTTCGACATATATATAGCACATATATATAACAGATATTTACATCCTATCAAAGCTCAGCAAATTGCCAAAGTTATCCCATGGAATCCCTTTAGATATATTTTACATCTATTTACAATCACTCTAGAGCTTATATATTCTATAATACATATACATATTTCGATATCTTAGCAAGTGCCTAGTGACAATCGCTTGTGCTTTGAAGGGGTTGCTTAGCGTCTGAGATACGCTATATACCTGAACATGAGAGCAATTTGGCCTTACGGTGAATTTGTTGCTGCGGATGGATTTGCAAATGTTGTTGAGGCGACGCCGGCAACTGTTGCTGATGCTGCAGATGATGATGAGGATGGCGATGTGGATGGTGATGATGATGGTGACGATGATGGTGATGATGATGATGGTGATGAGGATGCTGATGATGCTGATGATGGTGATGATGTTGCAGATGTTGCTGTTGCTTGTCATAGTCCGTGCTGCTAGCTGTTGCTGTTGTTGTTGTTGTTGCTGTTGCTGTAACCAATATGCCTGTGTGTTGTTGTTGTTGTAGCTAGTTTGCAGCTAATTGTTCTAGTTGTTGTTGTAGTTGTTGGTTGTTGATGGTGTGCGTGCATTTTGTGTGGTTAGAAGAAGGAATAGCAATGGCATTTGGACATTGACAGTGTATTTGTATTTGTTTTTGTATTCGTATATGATTTATGTGTTATTGCATTGCGTGTTGTTTGTTGCTATTGTTGTTGCTACTATTCATGTTGTTGTTGTTGTTGTCGTTGCTTATGCCTAATATCGAAATACTCACCACGTCTGGGTCGCCGTCCCTTGCCCTTGGCAGGCGGTATGCACGTCTCGCTCTGCAGCGCATGCAGCTGCGCCCCAAAGAAGTCCTCCAGACCCGCCCACGTATTCTTCTCGATGAAGCCCTTGACCATGCCCCAAATGGATTTCTTATATTTGATCTGTGCGTGCACCGACAGCATGGTATGATCGTCCACAGTGCTAAAATGAGTTTTTCACTGTTAGTTACAGAAATTATATATGTAATATACCCCTATTGGCTTACCGCGCCATACAAAAGTGTATCAATACACTGAAACTGTCCGCATAGGGTATGCCCGCATTCACGCTGTTCACGTCAATCGAATAGAGCTCACCCGGCTTGCTGCACTCGCGCATCGTTTGATACTCCGTGACCTGCAAGCAGAATTGAATACGTTAATACATACAATATAATAGAATTGGGTATACAGCGTATGCACTGGGCAGAGGAGAGAGAAAAGCCACGAGCTGAACAATATCCTCATAGCTTAACATTAAGTATGTGGAAATTTCATATTATAGAGACGATTCAGTCCCCTGCCTAGTTATTCCCTTTCATTCAGCCACCATTTCTTAGCTATCTCATGCCCACCTTGGAAGTCTTTGGGCCCACGGAAGCGGCCAACTGCACAGTCACATTGACCACACGCACATTCTGGCCCTCCTCATTCTTGTGCCACTCGCCCAGCGACAGATCTGTTGATTTGCGTTGCTCATGGAAGTCCGTTAGGAATTTGGATTTTGAGAACAGGAAATTGAACAGGGTATCCACGCGTATGGGCAATATGGTGTGCACAATCTGCCTGCCCTCGTGGGTTGAGGTGCACTCCGTGCTGGGCACAAAGCTGCAAGTGGAGGATATTCATATAGCTGTGATTTACATATGCTTTTCTTTACTCACGGCGCATTGTTCACTTCAGAGTCGGAGGAGTCGGACACGTCTGTGGGTCCCGCCTCGTTGTTTTTGACCGCCAGCTCAGCGTCGCGTTGTCTCTGGTTTTTCATTTGCATCTTGCGCTTGGCATCCGAGCCATGTGACTGGAGCTCGGGAGCAGTTGCCAGACTCGCATTGCTGCTGACCTTCTCAGCCTTCGCTGACCCACTGGCTGTGGTGTTTGCAGTCGCTGTTGTTGCTGTGGCAGCTGTGCTTGTTGCGGTGGCTGCTGTTGTGCTGGTGCTGGTGCTGGTGCTGTGGCCGTGGCCGTGGCTGTTGCTGCTGCTGTTGCCGCTGGGCACGCTGACGGTGACAGCCACCGACTGCTCCGACGTCTTGACGGAGCTGAGGATCAGCTCTTTGGTATTCGCCTTCATTTTCTTATTGGATTTGCGTGTATTGTCGCTCGCCTTGTTGTCCGAGCCGCTGGCCGAGGCGTTGGCCGATGAGTTCAGGTTTGACGACTTGCTCGAGTTGAAGAAATATTTCGTTTTAGATTTACGCACCGCAGCACTGCCGCCGCCGCTGCTGGCGCTGCTGTTGCCGCTCTGCTGCTGCTGCAGCTGTCCCGAGTTGTTGGTGCTTTGACTGCACAGACTTTGATCGCCGCCAAAATCGTCGATGGCCGTTTGGAAGTCTACATCAGTTTCCGTATCCGCATCCAGCGTGGGATCTATATAGTCCTCATCGTCCGTGGTCAGGCCCAGTTCGTCGCCATACGAATTGTGCACATAACGCCAGATCTCTTGCGGTGAGAATTGCTTGTTCAACAACGTATTCTGCCAGACGCGAAAGAGCATCAAATACGATTTGTCACGCGATGCGAATGTCGCGAAAAAGAACTTCTCCTTGGCGGTGGATATTGTTATTGCATTCGGTATGACCAGCGCTGTTTTCTCCTTCGTTATGGCCGTCACATCCTTCCATTTGATGCTCACATAAGTCTCCCAGCTGAAGATGTTCGCGTGGAAGCAAACGTAGTTCTGCGACACGTACAGACGGCCCTGGACCAATATATCACGCTGCAGCGCACACGAATAGTCTGCAAGTTAAAGGATTCCATTAAAGCATTCAAAGTACATTCAAAATGGGAAGTCAGATCTAGCGATCAGTTCAGTTACTTCTAAATGTGTTTCCTCACGAGATCATCTATCGTCAGATCTGATAAACAGCTCTGATTACAATTAGCAGTTCAAATTATACATCAAAAAGTAGCACACGAAAGCCCTTGCGTTCCGAAATACTTTGATAATACTTGTTGCACAGATCCGTTATCTTGCACGAAATAAAGTAAAAAGAAGAACTACCTATAAAACACCACAGGTGTTCAAATAAGCACGTTATAAAAATCATATCTAACAAATACGCATGGTAAAAAAAAAAAACGCCCATAAAAACATTTTTAGCAGGAATTGAAATATAATATAATATTTTGGAATTGTCATTAGGATAATCCTTTACGAAGAAACAGTAAAATGCTGACTAGGAAATGCCCTGAACTGGCGGCATCTATAATGCCTAGGACTCAGGACTCGTTGACCTGATTAAGACTTTATGGAGTCTTCATGGAGTTTGCCAGGCCTCCTGCTGTCTCTTCTACTCATTTTCATTGAACCTTTCACAGAACCTTGACTTTGTACCTTTTCGTACGATATCAGGTATACACAAAGAATGATATCATGATATCATGCTAATATTGAACTTACCCACAATTAGTCGCTCATCGTTGGGAACATCTTTGAAGAGTTTCTTAAAGTCCTCGGCTCGAGATTTATAGTTGGGATAGATGACGTTATACCAGGACTTCTTCTTGGCGCGTTCGGAGAGTCGCGAAGTGCCCTTGTTGGGCTTATCGTTCGATGTGGGATCTCCACGTAGTAGAACGCCTTCTGTGCTATTCGATTCGCTCACTTTACTCTGGGCATCCTGCAAAATATATGTATAGATAAACATAGGTTTAGTCGATATCTGACAAGCAAATAGTAAAGCTTGTTAGTCATACATACAACCGAGTGTCTGAATCATAAATGTTCGGGGAAAGCAAGTGTCTCGCACGCTTATCAAAGTGTGCACAGAACCTTTTTTGTTGCTGTTTTGTGAATTCTTTTTATTAGTGTTTCTCATTTAACTGTTCCGCGCTGTATGAGTTGATGTTGTATAATCAAAAGCGATCGATCCGCACAAAAATCGACGCACTGCGTCGTCTCGCGCCGCGCATTGAATTCTAATTTGCTGAGAGCCAACCAAACACGTTCCGTTCCAATATCAATCGCGTTATCAACAAAGTGACAAAGCTTCGGACCAAGCCAATTTTAGGGTGCCAAGAGCTTTTCGTATACCGAATACTCTGTAACTTGAGCGGGTGGCAACGGAAGGGTCTATAAACTGGGGATTGACTGGGGAGGGTCTGTCAACTAGAGATAGATTGACCTGAGCAGTTGGTTGAGTCACCAAAATTGTTCAGTATTTCTGCCCTATGAAGTTAGCAATATAATAAATAGACTTAAGATTAAGAGTTATATGGTATATAAGAGCTACCGATCACCCTAAAGTTCTTTGGTGCTCCATAAAGTTAGCTATATCATAGATTATAGCTACTGCTTCCTAATATGCTCTAGTATATTTACTTGGAATACTATATTACATGTAGGAACTGATATGCACTATATACATATAAGCTAGCAAAGGGTATTATAGTAATCAGTAATTTACCACAAGCTGGTTGTTCACTGGGGAAACTTCGTGAACTAGTCGAAAATGCCTAGCGTTCAGTATGACTCAATCGAAAAGGCTAATAAACTGCCAGTTGGAAATAATCCATGTGATATCTGAGGCCCGATTTTCGTTATCTATAGCCCCAATACATTATCAGCTCGTGTGTAGCATCTGTTCGATATTTCGTTCGTTCTTCTTTGCTGCGACCGCCAATGTGATAATGAATAGAACCCATTAGAAATTAAAGCCCGCGAGCTTTTTTTCATGGCGCGACTATCAAAGAGTTGAGCAAGCATTTTGTTGGGAAAGAGCGAAACTTAAGAGAGAACTTTGACAATTTGACAATAATGTGAACTGATGTCTACTTGAAACTAGATGAAACAGGTAAGAGTTCTTGAAGCACTTATTATAAGACATATTAAATGAAGATTAGAATGAAATTATTATCAATAATTAAAATGAATTGAATTTCTATTATGTGAATCAGAATATTTACTTTTATATGAGCTATCAAAGAGCTTTAGCTCCAAAAGTATAATGAATATATATTTGTTATATGAACTAGCCGGAATTGCAAGTTCCAAATATAACTATCTGATAGTGTAGATTAGCTAAACGCATTACGACTTAACTATCACACAAGTGAACTAGATCATGAACCACTCTTGGTAACACTCACCTCATCACGTCCACTGCTCGATGTGGATAGCTTGGCTGACTTGCCCTTGGAGCTGGTCGAGCTCTTGCGGCTGCTCGGACTGTCCGTGCAGGAGCCAGCCTGCTGCCCGTTCGAGTCGAGGCTCTGAGAGAGCAGCAATTGCTGCTGCTGCTGCTGCTGTTGTTGTTCCTTGGACTCTGCTTGGCTTATGCTTATGCAAGGCGTATTTGCAGCCTGCGGACTGGGAGGCTCTACGTTCTGATGGCTGTTGTTGCTGGTATTGTGGCTGTTGTTGGTATTGTTACTGTTGCTGTTGTTGGTACTGCTGCTGCTGTTGAGTTGTGTCTCTTGACAGATGACAGCGGCAACAGGAGCGGAAGTGGCTTGTGCTGAAGACAATGCTGTGGCAAGAGTGATGCTGCTGCTGCGCTCTAGAGTGCCGGCGGCCTCCTGAATGGTCAATAGCTTGCTGCTTAGCTGGCTGCCGTTGAAGCTGTTTGTTGCTGCAGTTGCTGTGGTAGTTGTTGTTGCGCTCGTGATGTCATCGCCAATCGAATCTCGCCTAAAACAAAGCAATTTATTTAGTGGCTGTCTGTAGCAGAGATCGAATCTATATAAACGACCATGTAAATGTGTGTTGGTGGTGCAGAGGAGCTTCTACTACAAATGCATGCTAATTTCGTATGGATAGTCAAATAGAAAGCGGTTTAAATATACTTAACGTTTGCCCAGTTACCGAGGTGTCTGTCTCGAGTCTCGAGTCTTGATTTCGATTCAAAGTTTACCTACCTTTCAGCTTGATTGCTACTTTGTATATATTTATCATCCTGTTCAGCTTCCACTTGCTGCTGTTGCTGTTGCTGTTGGGACTGCTGCGACTGCTGTTGCTGCTGTTCCACTGACGACTGCTGCTGCTGCTGCAGCTGCAATTGTTGCTGTTGCTGATGCTGTTCTTGTTGTGCATCACAAATCATGTCTGCGGCATGAGCAGCCTCTTCGCTGCTTACAGCAGTTGCAGTTGCAGCCACAGTTGCTGCAGTTGTTGTTGTTGTCGTTGCTGCTATTGTTGCAATTGCTGCAGTTGTTGTTGTTGTGGTTGTGTTTATATCAATATCTTTAGTCCTACAATAAAATTGCATAAGGAAATAAAAACTAAGAAATGCCAAAGGAGTACAAAACAAAAGAAACAAACTTAAAAATTATTTTTTTTTAAATGCTCTCCTTGCTCTCTCTCTCTCCTTCTCTTCTGTCTCTGCCCTTTTTCTTCCCTTTAAGCCATACATACATGTAGTTGTGTATATCATTCTATCATCTCTCCTTCCCACTGTCTCTAGACTTGTAGACTCCTGTCTACTGTCGACTCCACTAGTCAAGTTTCTCTCTCTTTCAGATTACGTTCTCAGCTATCTCTCTCTGCCAATCTCCCTGCCTACACTTCTTTCTCCCTGTCTACCTCTCTTTACATACATATATATAATAGATAAAAAACTTGGTGAATTTCTACAGAAACGTATTTTCTTTAGCTCTTCCCGACGCTTCTCGACCTTTCTTTCCCTATTTTCCTTTCTTAAAACACATACTTATAATTCCATACATACATACATATAATTTGGACTGTATACAAGTAAACGATTTTCTGTCTCTGTCTCTCTCGATGTGCATTTAGCTCGATTTAATTTAAAGAAGCCTATTCTCTCCCACATGCTGTCACTCGATATTCCTTGATCTATATGTAGAAAGCTCAAGGTCAACCTACTCAGATCTAAATTTTTATTTTCTCTCTATCATAGAGAGTTTATACTTGTTTATTCTATTTTGCTCTTTCTCTTGCATTATCTCTCTCTCCTTCTCACGATTGATCTACATAACGTATATACAAAGCGATTGGCCTCTCGCTCTTGCTCAACTTCCATCGAAGCAAAATTTTTGGGAAGTCTATCTCTCTTTCTTTGTTTCTATTAGACTTCTTTATTGTTTTATTATTCTTATTGAACATTATTTAATATAATTTTTATTTTAGTTGTTATAAAAAAGCTTATTTTTAGTATTATTTGTTGTTCTGTTTTTATGATTTTGATTATTTTTCATGGTATTTTATGGTTAATTTCCGAGAGTTTGCACTGTACACATTATACATATACTTAGACATATACAGATATAGCCTTTACCACACAACATAGGGCTTTGTTGATTTCCCCATCTATTCTCTATTGTCTACGATCTACTGTTAACCGCTTGAAATATGAACTGAGAATGAAGTTTCAATATACAATTGCCAATCATCGACATTTTTGATAATCACTGAGCCCACACACACACACACACCTACACCCACACACATATATTTGTATATATAACATTATTAGGCCCGTAGTATCAAGCAACAGGTTAGTAAGTAAACTCAGCTGTCAGATAAGCGCGATAAGATATCTCTACTCTATTGGGAGCTTGGCCTTTGACGGATCCACCAAAACGTCGTTCATGATTAGTTGGTTATAGATATAGTTAGCAAATTGTTAAAGATATAATCGTAAAATTTCAATTAACCAATTTTTAGTGACCCAATTGATAAAACAAATATTTAATTTCCATTAGCTTAATGGGTCACTGACTTTTAAAGACAGTCAAAACTGTTTGAGAATTATTAGAAAACACTGGAAATTTTAACTATCAAAAAAGTTATAAAATTAGAGCCATTTAATAAGGTAAGCATTTACAATTTGTGAACTGGGCAAAAGCTTATGACCGAGCTTTGTAAAGTAAATATTTATTTTTTTATACATTAGAAGACGTTGTTTATATTTAACTTGGTTTTGATATACAATTTCACTTAACTGGAAATTTACGAGTTTGGAGCTTGCACACTTTAGCTCAAGAAAAAGTTTATAAATAATCTAATATGTATGATAAATAGTAAATTAAACAAATCATAAATTTTAGAAATTATCTAATAGTGAACTTGCGAAATTTGTATTTAATTTCCAAAACAAAATAAATAAAGATATTTCTAAAACTATATTTAGAAACTTTTACCTCAGTATTACCCATTATAAATTAGCCATCACAAATTAAAATTGTTCCATAGCTCTTTCTAGGGCTAATTGAAAACCAATATATGGCATATTCCCTCCCTCCCGTTTTTTGCACTTATTGTGTTTTGTCTTCTTAATTGACTTTGTTACATGGCTGGGGCCATTCAATTGAGATAGCAGCTGGCACTATTTGAGTGCAAATTTGATTGGATAATAGCTCAACTACTGACTCATAAAGCGAGTGAAAATGCTAAAACTAAATAATTGCCAACTTCCTCGCTCTTTCCCTCGCTCTGGGTCTTTATTACCGTTTGAGGGACTACCCTTAATATATGATATAATACACAAAATTAACTCGTTTGAGCAGTGAAATACGCAATTAAAAAAATAATAAAAATAAATGTAGTCAAATATAAATTAGCCTGTGTACTCTAAATATTTTTTTTTCATATAAAATATAAATTGGGTTGAAAAAAAAAAATAAATAAATAAGTAAATGAAAAAATGAGCAACAGCCTTATCAGCAGCCAAATTAATATAATAATGTTGTCTTTAGTCACAACAAAATCAGCTCAAAAGTTCAAAGTTCAAATTCACTTGGGATTATTTTTATATTTATATGAATTAATTATACTACATTTTCTATAGCGAGCTCAAGATCAAGATTAATACAATATATGAGTATGATATTGTAGGAATGTAACAATAGGCTTCAGATATATTGTGGCTAAGTCTAAGTCTAAATTATATTAGCTAAATTATAGAACTTTTTAAATACTTTTTATACAATTATCTGCATGCTATCTCAAGATTGAGAGACTTGTTTGTCTAAGCAACAACTAAACTGATGGTATATATTAAGTATATCAGCTCAGCTGATATAGAGCTAAAACATATATACATACAAAAATATATTTTATGGCTTACACATGTTTTAGAAATCTTATGACAGTATAAGTATACCGTCCAAGACACTAAAAGGTACGCAAAAAAAGTTTTTTCATATATCAAATGGTAAATACTCGAACCATATAAATTCTAAACTGAATAATGATAATCATAGAGAAACTATTATTTCAGTACATTCTAAGTTGACAGGTTTTATCTTCATAGCTAACATAGAGTTATACTTCGTATAGCCTTCACCTTCTATTTAATAAACAATTATATCTATAGGCAAGTAGTATTATTTAGTAAATTGTTCATGAGCTGCACAGAAATACTAGATGATTTATAGAAACAAATTAATGCTAACAGGAAATACTTTTGGAATACTTAAACAACGTGCCAAGGCAAGAACAATGAAACAAGTTTTGGAATACCATATTACTTATATAGAGGTATATATACACATATGTGTATATAGTATCGAAATGGCAATCATTATTAACTCACCTAAAGCCAAATAGCATATAATTTCAGATTTTATGATAACCTTTAGCTCTCGCATCAGAAAGCTGGAGGGGCGTGTCTCAGGCGTAATGCAACATGCGCGTAACGACAGCTAAACAATAATTATTTATGAATAAACATGCCCTATATATGCCCAGGAATAGTTAGAGCTAAGTCGAAACACAGTTGGGTTCGGCTAGTCTAGTCGGGCTGGCCGTGTGCTGCGCCAGAACCACTATGACAGCCCGAAAGAACACAACGGTAATAAATAATCAGCCCAACTAAACAAACAAACAAACAAACCAGTTCTAACAAAAAAAAAAAAAAAAAAAAAAAAAAAAAAAAAAAAAAAAAAAAATCAATAAAAATTTAAGTAAGAACAAGTAGGAATACAATAGGAAAATAGACATATATCAGGCAACTTATAGACTATTCGATACCCTAGCAGATAGAGCAAAAATTGAGCGAAGATGAAAAGATTTGAATTGCATACTCTGTAAAGCAATTTCGAATAGTTCATACGAGAGAGTATGATTTTTGTCTACAATATGGAATAAATATATGATCATTTAGAGTATTGGGTTAGATACTCACAGAGAGCTCACAACCAAAAATTTCCATCTTTCCAAAAGTTCTCCTATAGCAATTATTAAATTCGATTTATATTGTTTTCCGAAAACGGAACTTCTAACTAAAATTTAATCGAATATGCACACTTATTCATATAAACCAATGATCAAAGAATATGAAAATATCTTAGACAGAGCATCATCATCGACAAGCCAAGTTTTCAAGTTACGTTAAAAAAAACTAAGTCTAGAAACAGACTCTTATCCTGATCAAGAGCAGCGAATGGAGTAAAGAGTATATACGTATGTATTATATCAGCTCGCTCTACTTAGACTAAGCTCAGATCGGACACAGCGACAAATCTACTGTCTGTCACATACATTCACACTAAACCGTATGCATCCATTCAATTTACCCACTTTCAGCGCATAAAAAAAGTAATAAACTCACATTTTTTGTATTTTCGCCTTTTTTTTAGCTCAACTTTTTTTGTTGTCACTGAAATTTGCAAATTTTTTTAGTTGGCTTTTGTTATTGTTTTAATTGTCGGTCAGGCCTGAAGGGGTCACTCGAACTGTGTCATCAATTGGAAAAACGATGACGAAACACAAATTGGGAGGGGCGTTCATTTGTTTGCTTTCGTTTTTGTTTTCCCATTGATATTTTCTTGTATCTATTTTTAGCACATATGCCATTAATGTATCTACGTTTCTTAATTATCGAATTAGTTTTCTTGGACTATATTTCGGATAGGTTTTCTTTTGATATTTTCTTCCGTTTGTTGTCTCACGCGATGCCGAATGCCGACGGCTGGAGAGCGAACGTCACCTCAGCGCGACGCTTGAATTTGCACTCAAATAAAGCGCCGCGAATCGCCCGACTCAACCGGCAAAAGTATATATATATGTCTATACACATTATATGTATATATGTACACATATATGGGCATTGTTATTTTGTGCAAGCAAGAGTCGGCTGTGCCGATTGTTTTCGATACGCTTCGCCGCTCGCATTTGGCCAAGTATTATGCAAATTCCATGCTTTAAATACCGTAAAGAAAACTTGAGCAATTTTTACGTGAAAATAGAAGAAAATAATTTTTTAATTTTTTTTTTTTTTTTTTTTTTTTTTAGAATCTAAAGTTATAAAATTCATCAGATTAAAAATACTGATATTTTTAGCCAGCATTTTTTATTTTAAATATTAAATATTACAAAACTACTTTTTAGATTAAATTTAATAAATACCATGATTATTATTAATATGATTTCACATTCTTTTGTTTTTTTTTACTCTCTGTTATATTTTGGGAGTTTTTCAAATATTTGGCTGATAATAAATTTCTTCTTTCTATTAATGTTCGTAAAGATCTATGCTTAACTAAAAATACATTTTTACATTTTTACAGATCGTTTTCTTGAAATGCCTTATAAATAAATATCAAGCAATTAACTGACGAGCACAATTTAAATTCCGCCTATTAAAAGTTTTCTTCAGTTAAGTCAGAACTCATTCGATCTATTGTAATTACTGCTTTTATCTCTTAGCCCTTCACTTCCCGGAATATATTTTTGCTTCGCTTTGAATTGTTGACGAAGTCGTAAAACCAGAAGTTCTGTTTATTTCCCCACTTTTTAAGGTACACCTTATCATCAATTGAATGTGTAATGTGTCGAAACACAGGCATTAATATTTATGTGGAATAGCCATAATTCATCAATTAATTAGTTATGCAACAAAATATATATATAAATAAATAAATATGATAAGAGCAACTGTAATTGGCTTTAATTGGAAATATTTGAATTAGAATTGCTTGTCTATTGGGCAATAATCGAATTGGATGTGATCTAGCATAGAAGAGATACGAGCCTCATTCTAAATGGTGTTTATATTCGCAATAACCTGTTCAAATTAACAAACGACTTTTCAAACTTTATTTACTTTGCTATAAAATCAGCTCGTGATGGCCTTTTGCATGTGAGCTACATACAAATATACTCAACTCGTCTGAGCGCAATTCTAATTGGAATTAGTATTGGAAATTGCGAAGTGCCCCATTTGTGTGTACACACTGACACGCTGGATTATCTCTTTGCCATTTCACTGATAAGAATATACTAAAAAGGAACAACAACAAAACCAATAAAAAATCACACACACGACATGCAAATTAGGAGCGGGCAAATGTAACTGTTAAACATGCAAACCAGCAAGAAAAACCTACACCAAACATAACTGTATATATGTATGTATGCATTTAAATATATGTATAATATATGTATCAACTTTTCAAGCTAAAAGTAGTTCAAGTAAAAGTAGAACATGTTGTTTTATTTTTCGTATGTCGCTTCTTTTTTTCTAGTGGTAGTTGGATAACTTACATGGAGTGCAAGGTAAGGCTGGCGGCTCGCTTATGCCTGGGTTGTTGTTGTTGTTGTTGTGAGGATTGCCGCAGCGGACTTTGAGCAGTGGCCAAAGACTTGGGCAAAGCGCCTTGACTGGAAGATTTGCAGAGCGACACAAAGCGGTTTGTTGTTGTTGTTGACTTTTGCTGCTGTGTTTGTTTGTGTTGTTGTTGTTGTTGTTGCCGCTGCTGTGTGACAAAATGCATGACAACGGGCAACAAACAACAAACAACAAAATAGAAATCACGCACAGTTATAAATTGTTGCAATGAGATTCGTTTTGCATGTTGAAAACGGTACTTGAGATTTTATTTCCTTTTTGCTCTATTTATTTATTTTTTTTTTTTTTCGTTTAGGTCTATTGAAATTGATGTGGCTGCTGCTGTGGCTCTGCTGCGACTGCGATTGCGGCTGGTGGTGCTGCTGACGTCGGCGGAAGTTGTTTCTTTTTGTTTTTATAGTTTTTCATTGCTTAATTATTTTATTTAAATATCACTCTGTTAGTTAATTAATTAGTTTACTGCGAAATTCGTTTATAATCTACTATTTTCCGATTTGCGAAACTCCTTGCTGCGTTTTTTCATTTTACTTTTTTTATTGAGTGCGCATGAAAAGTGGATGTTGCGCACAGGGCTGTCGAGCGGTGTGACATGATGTAAGCCGTTATTTAGAAAATGGTAATAAACAACGCCAAATAGATCTAAATACTAAAATATTAAAGCTAATAGATAGTGTAAGCCCATTATTAGATTTGTATTAGATTTTAAGTCATAAGTTTTCAATGAACAAAAATTTATAAACATTTGTGGACTGTTGGCAGCCCTGCGGCACAGCTGTTTTATACGAGACAATATACTCAAAAAATACTGCTTGGCTCAACTCTGGTCACACTTGCGCTTAGCAACATTTGTTTTCAATTAATTTACAACAAAGTTTTATTATTTACATATCACAAAGCACGAATTAAAAATAAATAATTTGTTTTAAATGTAAAATATTTCCGGAACGATCCGTCGTCAGCCCGTTGACGTCTATTGCAGGCGCTGCAAAGAGCAGAGATTTAGTTTTTCTGTAGCAGGATGCGAAATGTGCAAAGCAAAAACAAATTCATTTTTTAAGCCAATAAACCATTGGAAGTCAGTACAAGGCTTGAATTGCCACTCTTGAGCAGGCCACGTATTAGGGATAAGTCATCTGGTGATAAGGACCAGCCGGTCAGTTGGCCCACACTCTGAAGCTCCGGGCAGCTGTCCATGAGAAGCTGGAAAAAGAGAAGGATACATTGTGAAAGAGAGAAAGAGAACGAGATAGGGAGAGCGATTACAGACCTCAACAGATTGTACCGTTAGCTCTGGTGCAATCGTAAACCAAATATCCTCCAAGACCTTAAAATCGTGTTGAACAAACATGCTGAGGGAAATGTGGTTCAAATATCGTAGTATATGGATACATTCCAATGTAGCATAGATACCTAACGATATCTTCATCTGTAAAGTCCACAGAATCGACTGCCAAGCGCTTCAGGTCTGTGACACTGCAGAGGAACGCCTTGAGGGAGCTGGTCATCATTTCGCAGCTAAGAATCTCGAGTCCTTCGAGCTGTTGGAATCGCGCCTGGTTCTGACCATAGGAGAGACTCTCAATCACATAGCAATCCAGATCGATGAGGATGGGGCACAGTCTAGCTAGCTTGCCCAGCTCCAGGTTGCCCGATCCCTTGATGATGGTCAGGTGCCTCAAGTTCCGGCCAATCGGCTTCTCCAGCAAGGACATCAGCTCGGCGACCACAAATTTGCAAATCTTCAGCTTTCGCAAGGCCTTCGCCTGCAGGGCGCGCAGTGCTCCCAGCTTGGGCGAGTCCAGGTACAGCGTGTCCAACTGGGGACACGACTGAACAATCACCTGCAGCTGCGTTTCGTCCGTCGCCGTGTCGTGGACATACTTCAGTTTGCACTGGAAGCTTCTGTCGATGTTGTCGTGGATGAACTTCAGGGCAGCTCCTACAAAGGAGTAGGTCGATAGGGTCTCCACGTGCCGACAGTGCTCGAGAATGAGAGCTATGTCAGAGTAACAAATATTCTCCTCGCCAGGCATACCCACGTCCACGACCGTCAGGAACTGCGCACAGCTGCCTTTGGTTAGCAAATCGATGCCGATCTCTGTGATGTCCGTCTCCCCCGATATGTCCAGGATCTCAAGGTGATTGCAGTTCGCGGCGATCTCCTCCAGGAGCTGATCGTTCGCTATATAGGGCACGTAGAGCTTGATTAGCTGCTTGCAGCGCCTCACTATATCGTACATGTAGTGCATGTGCTCCTCCTTCACCCAAATCCCCTTCAGATTGAGCACGCGCAAAGCAGATCCCTGCGCTGCGATCACCTGCAGGATTTTCTCATAGTAGCTGGGCGGAAAGACTTCCGTGACGAGCAGATGGACGCCGCAATTCAGCAGCATTTGCAAGCAGGTGAAGCGCATGTTCGCATCCAAGTAGTCCGAGCTGAGAATGACGCGCAGCAGATCCTGGTAGATGTTCGACGTGGCGCCCGCCTGGGACAAGTACTCGTTCAGCTCGACCATGACTATGCTGATGTCCAGGTTGACATCGGGCGCATACTGGACGTAGCTGATCGTGGACACCAAGAGATTCGCCAACTCGGCCAGCGAACTGTCGCTCAAGGAGCGCACGCTCAACTTCTTGGACATCCTTCTCTCTCTCTCTCTCTCCCTCTTTCCCGATTTCTCTTTGGTTTATTTTGTAAACAACGTGCGGCGCAGTATGCGAATTGTTTTGCTCCTCTTCTCCTCGATTCTGTTTCTATTACATCACTTGCTGCAGCCTTTCAATGTTATTAGCTGATTGAGTTAACTATTGACTGTTTCGTTAAAAGTTATTTTCGCTGAGGTATTCTTATTTATTTATATTATTTTTCTGCTTTTTGTAGCTTATGTATGTAAAACCAAAATAGATTTTCAGCTTTTCTACAACTTTCTATATATAGAATAAATTCTCGGAACGATCGCGTTCTGAACGCTTTGCCGTCGCAACAGAAACTGAAAAAAACTATTTTTTTGCAAACATTTCGATTTGTTTGAAAACAAAAGAAAAATAGACGAACACGAGAGAGTAGGCGAGTAGAGCGACAAGAGAATAGTAGGCCATTTGGACAGCGATCCAAGGGAGAAGAGACTTGGTCGGACGAAAAAAGAGAAAAACGAAGACAGAAGTAGAAGCAGGTAAAGTTAAGAGAGCGATTGGCAATTGTGGAAAATCTACATGAATAGGGAACTTATAAATATAAATAATGAAAACACACGCATTGGAGATTATGACATGGAGTTTATAATACTTAGATATAGATAAGAGAGATTTCTGTCAAAGGGATGTTTGCTTAATCTGATTCGCTTAGGGCTGCAGATAGCTGGGCAGCTTCATCCGCATGAAGAGCCAAGTCGTGAAGAAGGACACCAAGATGAAGACGAAGCCCATGGCAGTCAGGAGCAGGCGATTGAGATTCGTCTTGCCTGGTGCGTGGGTCTGGTCCATTATGATGAAGCCCAGGCCGCCGATCGTGAAGAGGAAGCTGCTGGCCAACCCCTCCATTATATATTGGGCGTTTACTCTGTAGGGCATGAAGGCCACGGGACGCGAGTGTCCGTGCTCGTCGACAGTGGCGCCCACGCTGGGCGGTTCCACGATCACATCATAGATGATACCTGAAGGATAGGATATTTAATGAAGATCACATTTGTATTTATATACGTTTCACTTACCTCCTGTGACCAGGAAGTAGGAGATCAGCACAGCGGAAAAGACGGTCATGGCCGAGGGCACGGGTATGGAGAACTTTCGCACTTTGACGTTAGGTGGCACGAGTATGTGGAAGGGCAAATTGTACAGCGTTTCAAGCATTTTGCTGATTTAAATTCACTTCTTTTCAGTTCTTCTCGAAAAGCCGGCGTAGGCGTAGGTTTCTTTCTGTTTTGTTGACGTTGTGTAGTTCGATGCTGAACAAGCTCGATATCAGTAGTATGAGATATCGGAACTAGATTTGAATCGTGTTTTGAACTATTCGCAAATACGAATAATAACAGCTGTTAAGCAAGTGCACAAATAATTCAAATTGGAATATTGAAAGTGGAGCTAGAATAGGTAATTGATAAGGTCAATTCAACTGACCTACAAGTATATATGTAAAATAATTGTTAATCAACGCCAGTCACTGTCTTTATACTAATTAAAATGACTCATTTATAATGTGAGCTGCTTTGCAAAATTGAGTGACAAATGCAATACTGATTAGAATGTTACATTGCATCACTAACCGGTCTATGTGTTCTCTGGTTAGTGATTGCATTAGAATGTTAAGAAAATACTATGGCACACTGCTAAAAGCTGAAACAGAAGTGACTCGAATGAACGAATTTACTGAACTGGTATATATGTGCAGTATTTTCCCATAATATTTGTGAAAGGTCGGTCACACAGCAATGAACAGCTGTTCAGCATTTGCGATAAAATTGGCGTCTCTCTCTATATTTTCCCAAACAAAACGTAATTTAAAACGAAGCAATAAAAACAAAATTTCGATTGAAGCATGGCAGATGCCAATGCAATGGCAGCTGGTAAGCGAGAGCAACATAACAGCTAGTATAGTCTATCAGATACCCTCCATTCTCACGCCTGCAGACAAAGTGCCGGCTATCGAGAAGCGAGTGCATAACATCTCGGACCTTGCCCAATGGCAGCGCTCGCGCGCTTACCACGACCTGATTGGGTACATCAATGGCACCAGCACGGCCATACAGGGCATTAAGACCACCGACGAGATGTATGAGTCGGAGGTGCTGCGCAAGCTGCTGGGATTATTCGACTCGCTGGAGCAGCTAGTGGAGCAGCATCCGCCCCTGGAGCAGCCACAGAGATTCGGCAACAAGGCCTACAGAGATTGGTCCCGCGCCATGCAGGAGCAGCTGCCCAACCTACTGCAGCAGCTGCTGCCGGCCACCAAGCAGAAATACCTCAGCGAGTTGCGCCAGTATCTCGTCGAGAGCTTTGGCAATCCTACGCGCATAGATTACGGCACCGGGCACGAGCTCTCCTTCGTCTTCTTCCTGTGCGCTCTGTTCAAGGCCGAGATACTGCTGGAGCAGGACATCGTCAGCGCTGCTCTGCGCCTGTTCAATCGCTATTTGCAGTTCGCGCGGCATTTGCAGCGCACTTACAACATGGAACCAGCTGGAAGTCAAGGCGTTTGGTCCCTGGATGACTTTCAATTCGTGCCCTTCATTTGGGGCAGCGCCCAACTGGCAGGTGAGCTCATTACGTGAAGTTCTCTCTTTGCTCAATCTGCTCTCTATAAGCAATCCAGCTCTTAAATCTGCTCTAAAATATGTAGTAAAAACTCTCTTATTAATGAAAGTTCCTTTTCTTATACTTTTCTTCTCTTGAAATAATCTGTACACTCTTTTCTTAATAAATTTCCCTTTTCTTCCTATAGAGAGTGGTCTCAGTCAATCGAATGGCTTACTTGGCTCTTAGCCGATGTTCCCTCTTCGAAATTTTCTCTCTTAATTCAATCAATTTTGATTTGCTCTCTTAAAGACCCATTATAAAGACCTTTACACTCCAATAAAATTTTATCATTACTCAACTCTTTACTCAATAAATTTCCCCATTTTCTTCCAGTCAAAAGTCCCTTTGATCCATCCAAATTCGTGGAAGAGCAAATCATAGCCGACTTTAAGGAGCAGTACATGTTCATCAGCTGCATCGACTACATCTGCAAGGTGAAGACGGGCCACTTCGGGGAGCACTCGAATCAGCTATGGAGCATTTCGGCAGTGCCGTCGTGGATCAAGATAAATGCTGGGCTAGTCAAGATGTACCAGAAGGAGGTTTGACAGTCGTTTCAAGTAAAATGAATCTCTTTTTGCTCACTCTTTTCCCTTCTAGATCCTCTCAAAATTTCCCGTTATTCAACACGTTTACTTTGGTGAACTGATGTCCTTCGACTCGGTGGCAGCGGGCACAGCTCTGAGCAGCGCCCGCCTGGGTCACGTGGCGCCGCCGCCGTCGAAGCGGATTTGCATTGGAGTGCCGACGCCCGCGAATCTTCCGCCGCCACCCGCAGAGGCCGTGAACAGCGAGCTCAACGTGGGCGACTCGAGCAGCGAGAGCAGCGACAACAGCGTCGTCCTGCGCACAGAATCTTCCGCATCGTTGGTGGCCGTGCAGGCCTCCAATTCGGGCAGTGGCTCCGGCGACAAGCCCACCGCGAATCAACCGGGCGGGGAGGTGGCCAAGGAGCAGGCGGAATAATTAGAAATGTTTTGGAATCGGATTTGTGTCAGAAAATATGCGAAATTCTATTAAAAATTCTTAAGGCAATCACAGTTGAACATGTACTGTGCCATGCTAAGCGAACGGGGCAGCGACAGTTTGACTTGTGTTGTGATTGCTTTAAGGCTGCTATTTGGTTTGACAAGCATTTCGATTGCATTTTTTATTGCGTATTTTGTAATGTTACTTTAAATGCAAAATGTATTAATAAAATTATGAGAGCTGTAAACGATTTACAGTTTGACATCAACTGTGCCAGGCTGATAGCTTCACATGTGTTACATATGGTCTTTGTCTTTAAGTGGCTCACAGTTCTACATGCATTGCACTTTATGCATAAACAGCGGAAACAATTGGCGCAATTTGCCGTTATTTTATATTCCACAAAAAGTTCTCTTGATGCACAATCATTGTAAATGGCCCACTTAAATGGGTTTTTGTTCTCCTGACGGGGCCGAACAGCGCAAGCATAAATTGTGAGAAATATATTTTATAGTTTACTGAGTGAGATTTTAGACTTTAAGGCTGAAAAATTGAGTGGAATTGAGTTTCACTCAGGAATTGTTCTAATTCTGTGCTTCTTTTTTATAGCAAGTCTTTTTAGTTCCAACAGTGAATTTCACTCCTTAACGAACTGAACTGTTTCGTGATCAAATGAACAAGTCAATCGAACTACTGTTTTCCCCCCTCTATCTCACACACTCTCTTAACAAGCTCTTTAGTGTTAAATGTAAACATCAAAATAATTGAAAAAAAAAAAAACAACAACAAAAGTAAAACTTTTTGCAGCCATCAAGTGGACGAAGTGTGAAGCATATAATCATTTATTTTCGACACATCATTTATCACAGCCGCTGCCACGCCCAGACATAAACGCCCACCATAACAACCTGAGCAAGCTTCGAAATTTAGTTGCTGCATTAAAACTTTGCCGACGCATTTTGATTGAAGACTTTTGCACAAAAAACAAAAAAATCATTTTGTGCTCTGCACTCATAGCTGCCCTCGTCGCTCTTCTCGTTGCCCACTTCCGCTCTTACAACCTGCTCTCTTTATATTTCACTCGACGCCATTTCAGTTCCAGTTCAAATGCCTCCGTTAGTTTTGTGGTAAGGCTGAGCAAGTGAGAGTGCTCAACTGCCTGACTGTGTAATACCCTGTTCATATGTACACTCGTTCAATTCTTATTAGAGGTATGGATATATATATAAAATATATGGATATAAAATATTTATATTACGTATATATTTATATATATTCGTATCTTTCGAATCATTTTCAAACGCATTTTTTATTTATATTTTTTGTATTAATTTTGTATTATAAATGGCATATCCATAGAAACCTTTGCTATTCATAATTTCATTCGGCTATCAAATCAATATACCCTTCCCATTTGTTATTTGCAGGGCATCAGTAGCAACTTGACTTTAGGCTACATTGTTCGGTCTATTTTGACCTCAGATTTAACCAGGTGATGTGTTTTTGCAAATTGGATGAATTTAGTGAGAGTGCATTGTCACATTGACAACTCGAGAGGGAGTGAACGAGAGAGGTAGGGGCCTGCAACCATTGAACTATCCTGTCATAGGTTAAGCCGATAACTCAATGCAATGTGAACAACTTTTTGGCAAATGAAAAATGTTGGGTAAACTGTCAACGGAAAAGTCAAGGATTGAAGCTCTCAATTGAATCGAAAGAAAATGCAGAAGTAGCAATTTTGTCGACTAATAAGTGAAAACGTTTTCTGGGCACAGCAAATAGTTTAATGAGTAACCTTGTGCAGTATATGATTATGTTTGCTTGTATTTTGTAATATGTACAATGTCCAAATTTGTAAATACTCAATAAAGTTGCAGTAGCATGCTGTGCGTGTGTGTGTATGT